TTCATGCGGAGTGCCTGCAGAATGTGGAAAGGCTAGCCAGCGGAACAAAACGGAACAGCGACGGCGAGTCTGGACTTCTGCAAGAGGCGGACCCTCCCAACCCCATGCAATTTGTCTTACCATAACAGTAGACCACCCTGCGCTTCCGAACATTTCCGAGGCTGCCAATGCTGCCAATGCGGCACCATCTGCATTAAAATTGGCATGGCAATCAATAACGGTTTGCAGATGAAACGTTTCCAATTACCTCACAGAAACTCAGAGTACCGTGATTCTGAAATTGGCTGAGCCGATGTTAATTATACGGCGGACAAGCGGTGTACTTCACCGCCCAGGCTATAGTAAGAATTGATCCGTTTTCTGCAACGCTGGTTCGACTTTCTAACGGTGCTTTCGTCACCGGTGATGAAATGTTCTGGGGTGGTTTGTTACGTTACTTGACCCCTTGATCTCACACGATCCAATTGTCCTCGGGGGTTGGTCTAGCATTCTACCGCAAACATCCCGACAAGGATTTGCTGCGTCTTCCCTTGCTCCAGGCTTTCTGCCACTGTGCTGCTTGTACTCCCGCTCTGTGAACTCATGCCGTTTCTGTCATGGGAGGCCCGCTTTTGCCCCAAGATGGTCTTGGCTCGCGCTTAGCAGCCGCGGCCCGCGCCTATCGCGCCTACCCATGATAATTGCAGCCCACATTTGTTGACGCGACGAAACGGACTCGGCTGAGTCTACTCCAGGGTCCAATCACCCAGAACCTCACAGATGTTTTCAACGCTCCCAGATTTGACACCGCGAGATGTGAGTAACTCCTTCGGATTCCCGAGGTGCATATTCGATCCTGTTCCTCTAATTCGCCTGCTTCTCCAAGATCCATTCTCTGTGGTATACGCCATCCAGAAATCCCACTCATGCTGTCATAACTGAGAGCGCCCCTCAAGAGGGGAACAACCACAACAATGGCACAAACCCATCGCGCCAGCGAGGGCAGCTCATCGAGCGCACCGCCCTGCATCGACTAGCTACAGATGAGTTCATACTATCACGACGCAAGCACAATGTCTCCAATTTCGGCAGCCACTGGCTGAAACCTCCCGGTGTACCCAAAACACTGCATCAAATGCGTGAAGAAAAGCGCGAGCAGGAGGAACACCAGGAGGCACTCCGGCGCGAGCAGCTCGCCCAAGAGCTAGCTGACGCAGAGGCTGAGGCTGCTGGAATGGCAGAAGGCGAGATGGATGACGTGCAACTCGACGGCGCGCAAGACCTCGATGACGAGATTCCAGACGCTGGAGACGACTTCTTCATGGGCGGCGATAGCGATGAGGACGAAGAGGAAGGCGAGGAGGCTGAGGAGGAATACGAAGACAACACCGATGACGAAGAAGCTGTCCGGGAGGAACGACAGAACGACCTCATGGCAGCCCGGATGCGGATGACTGACGATGCATTTCGAGAAGCCATTGCTCGAGGTGGCACCGATGGCGAGGATATGTATGCTGGAGAGGAGGAGCTTGAAGAGGAGTATCAGGAACACATGCTGGACGAGACTGATTTCGCCCACGATGGAATTGAGGATGACGGGGGCATTGATATGGATGCCGACTTGGACGACGATATTCCGGAGGCCGAAAGCGGCGGGTATGAACATACCGACTCCGAGGCCGAGCTCAGCAGCAGCGACAGAAGCCAACTGGACGACGATGGCTATGGGGATGATGATGCCGAAGGGCATTCTTTTGGTCCCCGGGTAACACCTATGGGCCCGCCTCAGTCACCCACTCACCACAGCCGTAGCCGTAGCCGTCAGTTCGCTCCGCGTGGTAGCATGGAGTTTTCTGCTCTCCTCTCGCAAGATGGCAGCAGCTTTATGGATAGCAGTCCCGCGCAGGGCCGACGATCACGGCAATGAGCACTGCCAAGGATTTGAAGAAACAGTTGCTTTTTGCATTACATAGCGTAACCCATCATTATTAGACGACGAGTCATGAAAAGAGATTAATGATGCATGAAATAACCATGCGTCCAATAATTACAACAGTAGTAACCAATGTACTTCACATGCCCGATGTGGTTCCGCATATCCCAAAAATCAACAAGGAGAGAACGACAGACCTTCCTGTCCCCTGCCTCGCTATATGCACAATGAAATCTTCGCAGGTCCCCAAAACTCCGTTCATGAATGCAACATCGTCGAAGCGTCCGCCGGCCCATTGCTATCGGGATTCTAAACCTTTTTATCGACCCGGACTCCCAGACTCGATGTCCCGCAATGTAAGAAAATATAGGTCATTTGGCGTGTTCCGTGCTCATCCCGCGTCGACATATCAGATGACGTCTTCAGAAAAGCCAGACGTAGAGGAACAGGAAGATGACGGCGGAAAAGAACAACAGCCAGACTTTCCAGCTGATGCCTGACCTCTGTGCCATCAACAGCATCCGGTTCATCGTTCCTCGAAGTCGTACCCGGGTCTGGTCAAAGGTGTCGTTCATCTTGTCTGCCAGCGCAGACGACTCGCGGATCTCGTCGCCGATGGCCGAGGTCATCTATACACCCTTATTAGAACCGTCCTCTGCCCACCGATCGAGGACAGGGCACTTACATCTTTCAGCACCCTAACCTTGCCCAGAATCCCAGATACTTGGTCGTCGTTCTGGCTCTCCAACTCGTTTAGGACAGCATCGCTGTATTGCCCTTTTCTGTTGGGCGTAGCCGGTCGATAACCCGCCCTGTTGTCTACCCCGAGGTGGCTGCCCGATCCCGGATATCCATAGCCACTGCTCGGGCTGGTGGGCGTATTCCGCCCTGAATGGTCGCCTGTGTATCCAGCAAACAGTGCGCTTCGAGGGTCGCGCTGGTGAAGTGACGAGGTGCCGAATCTGAGGGAGACGCGCTGTTAGCCTTAAAGCCGCGAGAGACGTCATGAAGCGCTCGAGGGGCTTGGCTTATGCAGAGCTCGGAGGGAAGGGGGGAGCAGGCGGAACGAACCTTTGTGACATGTTTCTTTCTATCGGTGGTGATGCGACGGTATTCTTGACCAATACAATGTCAACAAGACGATCGCGCTGGAAAGTTGACGCAGCACTATTTTGGCTTTTACAAGATACAAGGCAATGTGGTCACTAAATTTTTGGGGGGTTCCGGGGGGAGGCTTATCGGCCGGCACTTTCTGGTTGTCCGGGTACGTACCTGCCCCTGCCAGTTCGCCTGGGCAAGCCAACGAAATCGCTGCTTATTGTGTTCGCGATCTGTAAACCTCATTTTACTTCTCGTCGGAAATATTGCGGCTTGACCAATAGCTGCCTCGGCATCCATAGATCCGTTTCTCTTTTGCTCAATGTTTAGATCTGCCAGTGTCCTCGCCAGCTACTAAACAGTCAGACTCAGTGAGCTTAGTGGACGGCTCAGGTCAACCTAAATTGATAGGGGACGGCAGACCAGGAAATAGTACTACTATACTTAGGTAGAGCAACCATACCCAGACATTGAATTGCTTCAAATTGCCTTGAAGCTTCTGAGCTACTATTACCATGCATGCTCGGTTACAACCACTGGGCGTTCGATGCGATGCGTATCGCGGTGGGGCTTTCATTTCCTTGGGTGTGGAAGGTATTCTCCTATTGCCCCTGGGCTGGGTAAAATTTTCAATCTTCCTCATCATAGCGTCACTCATAATCATTGCGCTTGTCCAGTAGCAAAGCAGAGGAGCAGGGTCGTGTTCCTCTTGACTCCCCGCTTTACGCTCCCGGTCCGTATGCAGGTCTGGAGTCTCACTGGCCAAGATGCCATCGTACGGGTGGCTACCTTCATAGCGCGACCATTGCCACAAATTGATTCCGAGTCCAAAGGTAAATTTATCAAATGATTCGTCTATCTAGCCTGGATAAATTGATTTGTATCCAAAAGCTTATGGAAGTGGGATCTCCCCGGGGCTGAGTTGATCTGCATTTCGTCCTAAACAGGTTATGGTGAGCACGATGTTGATGGTGATGAGTTTGGGCTACTGAACCTACCTATCTATCTCGATACGATCTAACAGGGTTTGGACCTGCCTGTAACTGAGCGTAGTGAAACCGGCTTTTGGCACATCTTCGGCCTCAGCTAAGTTGAAATCCATGTTACTGAATGTAGTGGGTATGGAAGGACGAGGGGTTGCATCAAAAGTGACATATCAAAACACCCTCTGCTCCGTTGGTTGGTATTACTGTCCACCCTGTTATTTTCCCTTGGTGGTGAGCAACTATACAGACAGTATATGCTATTTATTCTGGGCTTCCTAGGAAAGACTGCTCCTCGTTTTCCCCTCCGTTTCTTGCAAAGAACCTTTCACATGGGTGGTGACTGGTTGTTCTCTAAATGTCGGCATGATCAGTGACAGATTATCCTATGGGGACCTATGGTGTTGCCTGGAAGCACCCAATGCGTAGTACCTACAGATTTGCACCACCAGTGGCGCAGGTATATCAAAAGGTTTGGCGTGTGAGCTGCTATGTCTTGCCCAAGTATGCCATTTCTACACCTGGGGCCTCACCTGGTCACTCCCAGAACCATCAATTTTAGGCATTCAAGTGGATAGTAATGCCACAACACTACATCAAACTAAACCATAGTCCAGTTAGCGTAAATGCCCCTCCCAAAATGTCAGGTCGAACGAAAGGGAGAACGGAATGTGATGGATCATGAGCGAAAGGGCGGTAAACAGGTTAGGTGTAGGGTAGTTATGACACGAGGCTCATCCGACACATCACAATCACAAAAGCGTGGACATCAATCGAGATTCATCATTTTGTTTATCTGACCCTCGTGTAGAGTACGCCTGGGCTAAATAGAAGTGTCGTTCCAAAGCCTGATTGACTTGCTGACACACCAACCCCATGTGACCAACGCAAACGTGATCAATACTCGAAAGAGGTGCTGTGAGCTCATGCCATAGCTTTTGAATTTACATGAGAACCAAAAATACACCCGAGTCCTTGCGTCTTTTCAATTCATGGAGATGAATCTTTTAGCCGGACATGTTGGTGTCCTCCTCAGGCGTGAAGTCATCGTCTTCGTCGTCTTCATCGTCATCGGCTGGGTGCTCCTCAGCAGCCTTGGCGAAGTCGATGACCTGACCGCGAGTGCGGCGACCGCCCTCGACAATGTTGTTTGTGTCAATCTCCTCCAGGCCGTCCTCATCAATGGCTGTGCCTGTTAGTAGGGGTTCCTCTCTGAAGTTATGAAATCTTAAGTGACTTACCACCCTCAGGCTCCTAAAAAATCATGTTAGCTTGAGGTACTGAAAAGGCAAATATGTGTAGCAACTCACGTCCTCATTGTCATCCTCCTCCTCCTCATCGTCGTCGTCATCCTCATCCATGACATCGTCCTGGTCATGGACATTTCCAACGGCAGCCTTGCCCTTGCCCTTGCTCTCGAGAGCGGAGGCGGACTCCTCGGTGGAGTTCTTGGGGAGAGTAGCTTCAGTGCCAGACATCTTCGGAATTGGGAAGCTCTTGAGCTTGGTTGTCTTTCAAGTTTGGGGTGAGGTGTGAAAGGTGAAGATGGAAAGGCTAGGCAGAGCGTGAAATTTCAGGTGAGACCGAAATACTGAAAGTAATGGAAGCCAATGGGAAAATGAACCTCAAGTGAACCACCACCCACTTTTGCGCCTACGGCCAGCTTTATGCAGGTGCATGCAACATTCACGCACTTTCACAGAGCAACGGATCTAGTCCCACAGTGGCTTAGCGTGTTTCTCACATCCTGGTGATTATATAAGGATTGGCCACGCCAAGTCACGTGGGGCGGCACTTCTGTTGGGAGATCTGTCTGTTTGCCAATCAGGATTTGCTATGGAGGATGGGTGCTGTGGGACAATCTGGTGGCTCTGGAAGCTATTCGTTCAGCTGTACGAGGTTGTCTCGCTTGTGAAACTAGTCCCAAGTTGCTCCGAGGCTGGTCTTCCGATGTTTTCTTTGCAATTATTACAAGACATATTAGTTATTAAGATGAGAAGTGACTACTCGGTGTAATTTTATCATTTTGGATAGCGACACCTGTGGATTGAGGAGCTCCTTTGCATAACATCATGAATCTATTCCTGTATAGTCTATTTCTCTGCTCCGCCGCTGCCCATCAAGACAAACACGGCAATGCCAATCATCCACCAGTACCTGCATGTTGTTAGTAAACCAGTAGCAGAGTGTGTTTGGGGGGAGGCACAAACTTTTGGAAGAACGACTTCTCCTCTTCTTCTACCTTCTTGCCTTCAGGGGAGAGAACAACGGGCTTGTTCAGCTCGGGCTGCTTGCCCTTTGTTTCCACCAGCAACGTAGCCTGAGGACCAAAGTCTCTTGTCTGCCCAGCGTCGATTCTCACGCCCTTCAGCGCTGTGCTGATAACCTCGCCGCGGGAATCTACCGATAGCACGAAGTGTGGCGCATATCCCTTGCTAAAGTTCTCGGTCGATGCGACAGTCGACCCCGAGATCCATTGTGAAGATTTCGTGTCGTATAGGCCAATGCGAGCGAGGTCGGATGATTCGGGGAGCTCAGGTGCTTCGTAGGAGATGACAGAGGCGGACGAAGACAATGCAGCCGTGTCGTAGGTAATCTCAGCAAGGGGCGCAGGTTTGCTTGACGACGAAATAGGGTGGATGTACACCTGCACAGATCGCGGCTGAGCGGCAGCCAACGCGGCGGCAAGGAGGGCCGTTAATACAGGTACGAAATGCATTGTTGCGCGCCTTGCACCTTTCTCTGATGTTGAGAGAAGTTATGAGCTCTGCCCACTGTAGCTTACTGATAGGTGGTTACATAGATGCTCGGTAGTGGTTGAGGTCCCTCGTCGGAAAAATCTCGGCTAATCGTAATTGGCCAGCCTTGGGACAGACCAGCCGCTGTTCAGATGCCTGTGAACATTTTGTACTTGGAATGTGTATGTGCGGTTCATGTATTAACAATGTAATGATGCTGTTCCCGTGCTATGCTCCAGTTCCCCTCCTCGCCCCCTTCTATTCCAAATTCCAGAAATTCTCATTCCACTGATCACCCAAAATTAAGAAAACCCCAGAGATAAATCCGTACGCCGCTTGCAGAAGATGCAAGGATACAAAGACACAAACAGCCGCCCCGAAACCATAGTCTTTTCCGTTGTCCTTTTCTTTCTCGGCCGTCGCAGTCAGCTACCGGATGTTCTTTCTCGTTGCTGGCATGTATGAGTGTAAACAGGCAGATTCTAAATGAGTTAATATGATGAGTTTATCCAGTTCCTTCCTCTGACTCTTCACCGCCGGGACTGGCCTCATCCGACTCTTCCTCTGAATCGTCACCGGGCTCAAGAATGTACCCCGGTGTCCGTTCAACCAGTCCTTTATAATAGGCAACCAAAACCTCCGGGTTGGGAACTATTTTCCAGTCCACTCGATGAAGAAATTCCAGCTCAAGGCGGCTGAGCTCGGCTAACCGAATACCGCCAACCCTCGCATACGTAGTGTTATTCCAGAAAGAATCAGACAGGCCCTTTGCGGCCACGGTAGCTGCTGTGATAAGAAAGCGATGCACGGTGAGTGTATTTATCGTAAAGTCGTTGTACATGGCGCATAGGCGGTCGATATAATAGACCATAGCTAATAATAATGGTGGTGTGAGGGTGGCGTGCCTCGCAAGTCGGTGCAAGTAATCTCGTACTGATATTCCCGGAGCAGTCCTAAAGAGCGCGATTAGATTACAGCGAGCAGGATCGGATCGATCAATAGTAATTACCTGGAATGAAACCTCGTAAGGCCGCCCTCAGATATTCTGATCGCATCGTTGGTTGTGATTAGTTCCCCCAGCATATGTGAGATTAATTCGACCATGTCTTCGACTGCGCAAAATTCGTACTGGCGAGGGAGGGTCTTTGGAGGCGGGGCCTGGGACTTTGCTCGCTTGGTTGACGAAGATGCTGGGCTGCCATCTGTTAGAGTCGGCTGCTCGGACTGGGTAGTGCTTGGGCTCGTGTTTCGGCTCGGAGACCCGCGACGTTTATTTGGCGATGAAAGACTCTGAAGTTGGGCGTCCCGCGAGGCCGAGGACGCTGATGGAAGTGGGTTGGGAGGCGTCGCCATTGGTTCCTTGAGTTGAGGTTGGCCGCCTGGCGTTGTCGACGGGTTGGCCTTCGGGACACCTTGTGATCCTGACGATCTCAAGTCGTGGTGACTGGCCATTGTCTGTGACTCGGCGGGGGACGCAGGACCGGTGCGCTTCGTGCGCAGGGAAGCCGGCGAAGTCATGGCAGGGGTAGCAGCCAGCGTTGGTCGCGAGGATGACCGGCGCTGGTTCGGACCTGGTACCGTCGAAACGGCAGGTGCTGGCGCATAGCGAAAGCTGGTCGGCGAGGCGCTGGCGGAGTTGATGATGACAGGAGATGTCAACATGGTCTGCGGCCCATTGCTGGGGGGTGCAGCAGTGGCATCAGGCAAGAACGAGGTTGAGGATCGTCCCTGTGAAGTTTCTTGTGGGAGAGAGACAGGTAGGTCAATGTCACTTTTCGATGTGTTTGGGCAGATCCTTCCAATCTTAGTTCGGGGACTTCGACAATCATGAGGTGTGCTAGGTAGTCGTTGTATCCCACTTATCAGCCCCTGCCCCTCTCACTGTTCGCACTCACCGAACTGCACTGGTAACTCGTCTGCCAGAGATACGTGCAGCGACATCCGCTAATTCGCTCTCTGCCCACTTGTAGCAAATCAGAGGAAGAAAACAGTTTCTATTTGATCTAATGACATTCTAGGCTTAGTAGGGCAGATTTTGGTTCACATTAGGCTTAGTAGTAGGCAGCCTTACTGCTGAAATACTGCTCATCAATATTCACTGGTTCTGGTGCAAATATCTCAATTTACTATTATTATTGTATTCTTAAAGAATAAGATCATATAACGTCTATAATTACCCCTCCATGAGCAGAGAATTATGCAGCACTGAGCAATATTTCATCGCATTTCTCTGGGGGCCACCGTCAGCCTCTTGTTAGAGCACTGCACGTGCACCCAATTGTCGACGTCTAGGGCGAGCTTGCGTTCCAGGTCGTCAGTCGAGGCTCTAGTGCAGCCTGGTCCGGTTTTCAGAGTGCCTGAATGGCTGGCAATTGAAATAATTCCCTTGAAATAACCAACATTGCGATCACGTCATCTGGGTTATTTGGCTCTCCAGACCCAGAACATCCATTCAGGTTCTGGATCCACTGGCAGATTGTCCATTGAGGGTCTTGATTGTTCTGGAAGAGCCGATTTGCGAATTGTCATTGGACATCCGGTAAAACTACAGACGGGGCATGCATGCTTAGCAGGCTTTTTAAGAGACGAAAATTTTTTGGAAGGCCTGACAGTGTGGGGGTCATTGAAGATCATTCCAGTCATCTGGAGGGCAAGTTATGTCGCAACGCCAGATTAGATACTACATGGAGAAATAAATTAGTAGGATTTCCACTCGTAGTTTCTCGCCGGTTGTTTCTCCATGCTCACCGTGGTCAGCCAGTGTGTAGCGGGGTGATACCGCTGGAGCACCTGCCGATGGGTACATAAGGTTACCTACGCTCCAACTTACACTAACCTAGAGCAATTTGCATTACTAAGGTGCTTTCTTACGTAGCATGTAGATGTGGGGTTATCGATAACGTGCACGTGCCACCTAAACGTCCCGATCTTAACAGTGATAGTATGATGTATGGCGTCGCTTCACATCCGATGAAACCACCTCGCCAGACGAGCTCTTGAGCTTCCGAAACGACTATCTAGTAATTTCTATCTCCGGAATCCTCAAATTGGGCACTGCGAATTCCCTAATGTGCAGGGGCGCACATACTTCAGTGGCCTACATCTGCACTTTGCACCGACGTGCCTGATCGCGACCCGACTCATAGCTTCGATTTTGAACGTCAGCCGAATCTTGGGAATCTTTCGGCCACCCTCCTCAGAAGTCCCGAACGAAAAAAAGGGCATTGCGAAACGAGATTATACAGCTAGGCGGTATCTTGGAACCCATGGCGCGGCCACAGAACCATCCAATTCTAGCTCAGCTCAAGAGCGCTAGAACGACATCGGACCAGACTGCCTCGCTCCGCGCATTAAAGAACGAAATCGTTGGCCACATCCAGAGGAAAGAAGCATGGGTTGCCTTGGGTGTTTTGGAACCTATTGTCAGAACTATCTCGTCAAGGAGTTCCTTGGCAAGGCCTAATGGAAAGGAATCGTCCCGGGCCAGTCCTCTGGCCCCAGCATATTTGTCTGACGAGGATGGCACAAAACTACAAGCACTGCAGCTGGTCGCAAGCTTTGCTCATGGTCAGTATAGTTGAATCTCGACTGGATTTCTTAAACACTAATGTATATTGTTCAGGTGGACCTGCTTTCCTAGCACCACTTCATGCGTGTCGAGCACTACCTGCGATATTGTCAAACATTTCTCCGTATATCAACCCTCCACAAATTGTCGTCGCCGCCCTTCGAGCGCTCACAGATATCGCCGATGCTTCCGCTTTGGCTGATTCGCACTCTCCCCTGGACCTTTTAACTGTCGCCGACCAAGTGTTTACCCCTCTACACCTCGAGTCGTTTAATGCAATCCTGTCGATATCGTCAGCAAAGCATCTCTGGCAAACGCAAGCTACCCTAGCAGCTGGGTTGATTAGTCGGCTTTGTCAAGAGGAGAGGCAACAAAATGCCCTGGCAATGTCTGGGGTTCTTGATTCCCTCGCAGCTAAGCTAGCAAGCTTCGCCGTGAGCGAGGGATTCGTAGTACCTGGCGCAGGGATGACCGCGCAAAGCGATGGACTATCAGGTGCATTTCCCGAACCTGCGCCTTCGAACTCTCTCCTGGGTCCAGTCCTCGACGCGATAGCGACTATTTTGGGAGACTCAAAATATCGGGCACATCGACTTGTCTATGCCCCGGCAATACTTGCCGTGTTTCCGTCCACCCAGTCATTGCGACAGCTTTTTGACCAAAGCTCCAGTGTTGAATCAGCCGGAAGAAACTATACAAAGCATCTAGACCTGACTGCCATGGAGTGTGTTTTACCTGCTATTCCTACCTCGGTACCCCGAAGCGCATCTACGTCTCAGTCCTCACTTGCGAACTCTGAACGATCGGATTCTCAGACACATAGTCGAACTAATCAAAGCAGAGCATCCTCGATTTGGAGCTCGGCTGCAACACCGTTCAAGCCGTTCAGCGAGCCGGAGCCTGACGAAATGGAAAGCCCGCTTATTCCCTGGCTGGTACATCTTGTGCGCACTAGGACAGACTATGAACGACTGGTAGCTGCCTCAGTGCTCACCTCTCTGTATAAGGCAGACCTAGGAAGCAAAGCCGTCCGTGAGATGAGCCTTGGGCTACTTGTCATCCCTGTCCTGGTGGAAATGATGATCAAAATCGAGAAGGAGACAAAGGGCTCCCCTATGAACATGACGGCCCCTTTAACGCAGAGAGTGATTCTAGAGCGAGCACCTCTTGTACTCGCGCGCCTCATCAATGATTGCGAGTATTTGCAGATGAGCGCGTTCTCATGTTCTGCGGCCGAGACCGTAACGAAACTCCTAAAGCGTGCCTACTTGCCGGTTCGGGCCTCGACAGAAACCCAGATGTGGTCTCCTCGCCATGATAACGATATGGATGTAGAAGAAGGCTCGCCCGTAGCTCAATTGGGTCCTCGGGGCCTTGATCCCCTGATAGTTCATGTGGCGAAGGTACGAGAGGCTACCCTCAAGGCAGTAACCGCAATAGCCTTGGGCAAGGAAGAATACAGAAATGCTCTTGTTCGAGAGGACGTTATTCCATATGTAGTCCAATCACTTTCAGAGTTTCCGAATAAGCCTCACCCGCCAAAGGGAGCAAAAGACCAGCCTGCAACTCCTGCATCTTCTATCCCAGGCTACGGTACAAACCCGGTTTCTGTCATCATTGCAGGGTGCCATGCTGTGAGGGGGCTGACTCGGTCGGTCAGCATCCTCAGGACAACTATTGTTGACCACGACATTGCACCGGCAATCTTCGAGTATTTGAAGCATCCCAGCGTCGATGTACGGTCAGCCGCCACTGCTACGATGTCCAACTTGGTCCTAGAGTTCAGCCCAGTTCGCGAGGTGAGTGTTATATCAAGTAACGAGATGACTGTCAGCTAAGCTAATTCAACTGCTAGATGTTAACTGAGAAGGGGGTGATGAAGATTCTCTGCGAGCACGCACACTCCGACAATCCTTCACTTCGACTCAACGCAATCTGGGCTCTCAAACATTTCGTAGGTGCTGTGGGAGCAGACCTCAAAAAGGCTTGCCTTGAACAGCTGGAGCCCGGGTGGCTTGTTCAGCTCATCATGGATGACACCCAGGATACGGCCCTTTACAATAGCCGCACGAGATCCATCTCAGGGGAAGACATGGACGAGGATCAAAATCAATACCCCTCGAGCGAGCCCCATCGCTGGATGTATGGTGCCAACGGAATTTTCCACGAGTTGGATGGTTCCCAATCTACGAGACTGCGACAGGCGGAGAACAAGCTGTCCGAAATTCGCGAGTCGGAACTGAATCCTGTCAAGAAAGCACGCAATGAGGATATCGCCATCCAGGAGCAAGCTCTCCAGTTTGTGAGGAACCTGACCGGCCATCCAGGGGCCGGTGGCGGCCCTACGGAAACTGACGAGACGACGGAAATGATTGACTACATCTTCAGTGAGATTGGCCAAGACAGGCTCTTCGATCTCCTAATCTCGAAACTCTCACCCAAGGTTCTTCGACCTTTTGCCAGCCGAGGATCCGTTCCTGGCCGCGACTCCCGCGTTATCTATCCACAACCTCAGATCATAGCGCCCGTCATCTTCGTTCTCGTCCACATAGCAGCCAGTGTCACACGTCATCGTCAATTGATCATCGCCCAGACAGAGCTGCTCAAGCTCCTCCAGAAACAATCGAACAACAAGGATCGAGAAGTCCGCGTTGCGCTCTGCCATCTCGTCAGCAACCTCACCTACCCCGACGAGGGTGCCGAGTCTGAAGGATGCAAGCAACGAGCGCAGGAGCTCAAGAACCTCGGCTTCTACCATAAACTCGAGGCCCTGTGCCAAGAGGAC